AAATAAAAATATTTTAAAAAATACACTTATTTGTTTTTAAACATGTCCTTATTAGTCATTTGATATTAAACAACAACCGCTAACTATTGTATAACCAAACAGTTATATTTATCGAATCCGCTATTTATCATCCGCTACCCACTTTCCGCTATCCGTCATCCGCTATCCGCTATCCGTCATCCGCTATCCGCTATCCGCTAACCGCCACCCGCTACCCGCTACCCGCTACCCGCTATCCGCTGAATTTTAACCGCTGTACCAAACAGGCCCTAAAAGACAAAATACATAGAAATTGATAACATTAAATTAATTATTAAACCCTCAAATGTATAAGGTTGCAACTTTTAAGTCCTTAAATTAAATTAAAAATTTTGAGTAGTTAACAATTTCAGCAATTATGGTTGAATTTTTAGATGATATCGTCATGATTGAAATTTGAAATACATGGTAACCTAATAGGTCTGTATTTATTGTTTTAATTTGAAAATTGTTCACTTTAATTTAACTTCAAATTTTGCGATATCTTAACTATCTCCTATATTATAAAAAATTAAGAATAAAAAACTATAGGTAAACTTGACTTTAAAGACGAACCATGCATGTTAAAAATTAAGCATTATAGGGAGTTAAAGGAAAAAAAAAAAACAGATAAAGTGAATTTAGGTGGTTATAAATACTGAAAAGTTGCTTTTATATTAGTAAAAGTCAATGAATATTTATTTTGTATTAGATAAAAGAGAATTTGATAGAAAGAAATGAAGTTTTGTATATATTGTAATAATATAGGAATATAATACTTCATATATTTCTTTTTTTATAAACTTAATACGTTGAGAACACCTCGCATGGTCAGGTAAAGATGCTAATCAAATTTAAATCTAAATTAGTATAAGGAGGTTAGAGTCAACTTTCTTATTCCTTTTGCCTCTCCTTTTTTGTTTCTTTATCTCTTTAGAAACTCAAAAGGTAGTGGCAATTTTATAAATAATTTGGAGTTCAAGGGCGTTTTGGTTGATTGAAATGATTGTTTTTTTAGTAATTTGATGAAAATTTGTAGGGTCTTTTTTTGTTTATAAGTGGTATACACCACTAAAAGACCGAATACATAAAAATTGACAAGATTAAATTAAGAATTAAACCCTTAGACTTATAAGATTGCAACTTTTAAGTCTTTAAATTAGATTAAAAATTTTGAGTAGTTAACAATTTGAGCAATTAAGCTCGAATTTTTGGACAAAATCATGATAATTGAAATTTGAAATACATGGTATCTTAATATGTTGGTATTTTTTTTTATTTTAATTTGAAAATTGTTTACTTTAATTTAACTTCAAATTTTGCAAGATCTTGACTATCTCATATATTATTATGAAATAAGTATATAAAATGTCACACCCCAGAACCCAAATCTGGGGACGTGGCAAACGCCGTGCACTTGTGAGAGAGTCTCATAAATGCACAAGGCTCGGAACTTATCATACCACAATCTGATACCATTGAAATCTGAAGATCAAATTTTATAATCTACTTTGATATCATAAAATCTCCAAATACACTCTAGTTTACAAGATCATGATTATATATAAAATCTATATCAATCTCAAAATGGCTAGCCTTCTAACTCGTCACTTCCCATGGTTCCCCTGTCCTCGGTTTCGCTTCCTGAAATGATGGACAAGGGAAAACTATGAGATAAACTCAGTAAGTAAATATGGAGTGCTCTTTATTAAACTTATAGCATGCCAACAAGTGTAATCACGAAAAACAGATACGGGTACGAAAACGAAATAGACGCCCCCTCTATAGGTCATGGCCAGTGTTATAAACCTTCCACTGGTAGGCACACGAATTATTAGTGTATAATCCCACTAGCAGGATAATAGAAACGAACTGGCATGTGCTAGCGTTTATAAACCTCCCACTAGCGGGCACATGAATAACATGACCATATCGGAGACAAACAGGCAGAAGTTAACAGGAAAATCATAATTCACCAATCACTTTTAGATCATCAGGACAATCAATTAAATTTCAAGTAGGCATGCTCAATTTAATGAAAAGCATAAAAATTTCATTTCAATCGATCATACTTGTGTAAAATGGGTTTAGTCCCGTCACCACTTCAAAAACAAGTCAAAACATGCTTTTAAAAATTGTACGGGCATTACCATAAATTTACTTACCTCAAATCACATAAACCAAAGATTCAATCCAAGTGCTCGGGTGATAGAACACTCAAGAACCTAATCAAAATATTCCAAGATTAATACAGCACTACCACAAATTCAAGGTGAAACTTCATTAGGATCACCTCTAATCACGATACTATTCCTATCAATTTCCACATGATCAAATATCTCCAAATTTATTCTTATATCACAAACTAAACATTTAAATCCCCGTTAATTGTTGACCCTCGGTGTGTGAACAGTACCCGTAAACAGTAACCACGACGTGAACAGTACTCCAACTTCCAAAATTGGCAAAACCATGGCTAATTCACGGGATTTCTCTCCAAAAATCACACAGCAGTCAATTAACACTCAATCATATAAATCCCACTTGAATTAATGCTTAAATTCTCCTAAAGCTACCGAAATTCCTCCCCATTTTTCTGTAAAATTCGGACATCACAGGGGCAGCCACTACATGGATAATTCAACGACTAACGGATGATTTTAGGCTCAAAGGGGGCTGTCACATACTATAAATCCAGCAAGCAAAAACCGGAGTGCAGATTGGGGAGTGTTGGAGTTAATCCCGATTTTGAAGCTAATTGTTTTGAATGAGTCCTAGTTAGTGGAGTTTATGTGTCCTACTATTGTGGTTGCTGATAACCACGTTTCCTTATCTTTAAGTTTCAGTTTGTAGTGGCTAGAAAATAGGAGTTTATGCTTTATAAATAGGCAGTTGTTATTCAGTTTAATGTGTAATTATCTTCATCTATTTCCAGCAATAGAAGTGCCTCTTTCTTCCTCTGTTCTGCTCTATTTTTGGTTGTTTTGCTTTTATCTCTTCTGCTACTTCAATTGGTATCAGAGCCTTACACAATGAATGGCTCAAATCAGATTTCAGTTCCTATCTTGGATGGGAAGAATTACAATAGGTGGAATGTCCAAATGAGGGTGCTTTTTGATTACCACGAGTTGCTAGGTGTGGTGGAGACTGGAGTTGTTGAACTTGCAGAAAATGCAAATGATGCCCAAAAGCACGCCCATCGTGAGAGCAAGAAAAAGGATAAGAAGGCATTATATTTCATCCATCAAGGGGTGAATGATGAAGTGTTTGAGAAGATTCAAGATGCAACTAC